TCATTGACTGCATCCCGGTCCCCCATTATCCCTGTGTCCCCCCTGTCCCAATCCCATTGACTGCATCCCAGTCCCCATTATCCCTGTGTCCCCCCTGTCCCAATCCCATTGACTGCATCCCAGTCCCCATTATCCCTGTGTCCCCACTGTCCCTGTCCCAATCCCATTGACTGCATCCCAGTCCCCATTATCCCTGTGTCCCCATTGTCCCTGTCCCAATCCCATTGACTGCATCCCAGTCCCCATTATCCCTGTGTCCCCACTGTCCCTGTCCCAATCCCATTGACTGCATCCTGGTCCCCATTATCTCTGTCCCTATTGCCCCAGTCCCCATCCCATTGACTGCGTCCCTGTCCCCATTGTCCCTGTCCCCGTCCCATTGACTTCATCCCAATCTTTATCGTCCTTTTCTCCATTGTGCCTGTCCCCATTGTCCCTGTCCCCATTTTCCCTGTCCCCATCGTCCCTGCCCCATCCAATTGACTTCATCCCAATCCGTATCGTCCCTGTCCCCATTGTCCCTATCCCAACCCCCCTGACCATGTCCCTGTACCCACTGACGATGTCCATGTCCCCATCCCTATCCCATTGACTCCATCCTCACCCCATTGACACCATCCCTGTCCCCACTGACCCCATCCCCATTGACCCCACCCCATTGACCCCATCCCCACCCCATTGACCCCACCCCATTGACCCCGTTCGCACCCCACTGACCCAATCCCCACCCCATTGACCCCGATCCCACCCTACTGACCCCACTGACCCCATCCCCATTGACCCCACCCCATTGACCCCATCCTCACCCCACTGACCCAGTTCTCACCCCACTGACCCCGTCCCCAGGCCGAGGCCTCCCTCCTGTCCCCCTTCGTGTCCCCGCTGGTGGCCCCGTTCCGCCACGTGCTGCTGGGCCGGGGGGGGCACACGCTGCCGGCGCTGGGGGCGCAGCTGGGGCCGGGGGGGGGCAGCGGCCGCCTCCGCCTGCGCCTGGCGCTGCTGGCCTGGACCCTGCAGGGCACAGCCGGGGCCTTGGCCGGGGACGCCTGGGACCGGGGGGGCATCGGGAGCCCTGGGGGCATGGGGGGCAATGGGGACTATGGGGGTAATGGGGGCATTGGGGGCAATGGGGGCATTGGAGGCAATGGGGGCATTGGGGGCAATGGGGACTATGGGGGCAGTGGGGGCTATGGGGATGCTTGGGTTGATGGGGGCCTTGGGGACCACAGTGATGCTTGGGAGCAGGGGGAGACCTGGAGCTATGGGGACAATGGGGGCTATGGGGGCATCGGGGACTATGGGGACAATGGGGGCTATGGGGGCATTGGGGACTATGGGGGCAATGGGGCCAATGGGAGCTATGAGGTCTATGGGGATGCTTCAGTTGAGGGTGGCCTTGGGGACCCTATGGGGACAGTGGGACCCCCATGAGCTGAAGGAGTGGGGCCTCCTCTTAGCCCCGCCCCTCATTTGCATAATGTGGATTTTGGGCCAAATAAAACACTCGGAAACGGGCAAATCAAAACCAAATTGAGATGATGATGATGCTCTGGGGGGACCCGGCCCCCCCACCTGGCCCCGCCCCCATCAGGTCACCGCCGATGACGTCACGGCACAGGCCCCGCCCACATGCCCATGACATCATCCCCTCCTTAGCCCCTATGAGGGTCTATGGGGGGCTATGGGGCAGGGCGGGGTCAGAAGTTGGGGTCTGCCTTGGGGGGGCTCTGCAGGCTCTGGGCCCTGGGCAGGGGCACCCCCATCTGCAGCAGGTCCCTGTGGGGAGATGGGGGTCACATGGAACCAGGGTTCCCCCATATCACCCATAACCCCCATAGCCCCCATACCCCCTATATCCCCCATAACGCTTTTATCCCCCATACCCCCCTAATCCCCATAGCCCCCGTACCCCCCATATTCCCCATACCCCCTATATCCCCCATACCCCCCATATCCCCCATAGCCCCTATATCCCCCATACCCCCCATACCCCCCATATCCCCCATAGCCTCTATATCCCCCATACCCGCCATGCCCCCCATATCCCCCATACCCCCTATACCCCATACCCCCCATCTCCCCCCATCTCCCTCACTCCCCCTCTCACCGCGGCAGCAGCTCCACGCCGGTGACACCGGCGCCATCGGAGCCCTCCTTGAGCTGCAGCGTCCGGAGCCATTCCCCAACCGCAGCAAAGGGGGGACCCATGGGGGGGCTGCCTGCATCCGGGCTGGGAAGGGGGCAATGGGGAGGGCTCAGCTCCACAGAGCCCCATAACCCCTCCCTTGGCTCCCCATTGCACCCCCCCCCCCCCCCCCGGTGCCCAGTACCTGTGGTGGCCGCGCAGCGCCGGCGGGTGCCGGATGAGGCGGTCGAGGGCGCTGACGAGCGCGGGGAAGCGCGGGCGCGCGCGGGGGTCCCGGCGCCAGCAGTCGAGCATGAGGCGGTGCAGGGCGGGCGGGCACCGCGGCGGCCGCGGCAGCCGGTACCCGTGCTCGATGGCGCGGATCACCTGCAGCCGCCGTTGAGCCATAGGGATCCATTGACCATGGGGATCCCATTGACCATAGGGATCCATTGACCATGGGGATCCCATTGAGCCATAGGGATCCATTGACCATGAGGATCCCATTGAGCCATAGGGATCCATTGACCATGGGGATCCCATTGACCATAGGGATCCATTGACCATGGGGATCCCATTGAGCCATAGGGATCCATTGACCATGAGGATCCCATTGAGCCATAGGGATCCATTGACCATGGGGATCCCATTGACCATAGGGATCCATTGACCATGGGGATCCCATTGAGCCATAGGGATCCATTGACCATGAGGATCCCATTGAGCCATAGGGATCCATTGACCATAGGGATCCCATTGACCATAGGGATCCCATTGAGCCATACGGACCCACTGAGCCATACGGACCCACTGAGCCATACGGATCCCATTGAGCCATAAGGATCCATTGACCCACAGGGAATCCATCGAGCCATAGAGATCCATTGAGCCATAGGGATCCTGCTGCCCCATAGGCCCCCTATTGCCCCATAGGGCCCCCATTGTCCATAGGGACCCCATTGCCTCATCCATTGCCCCATAGCCCCCATTGCCCCATAGGCCCCCATTGCCCCATAGCCTCCCATTGCCCCATAGGTCCCCATTGCCCCATAACCCCCCATTGCCCCATAGCCCCATTGCCCATAGGGGCCCTGAGCAGTGACTCACATCCTGGTTGGACATGTCCCAGTAGGGCCGCTCTCCGAAGGACATCACCTCCCACATGACGATGCCGTAGCTCCAGGCGTCGCTGGCGGACGTGAACTTCCGGAACGCGATGGCCTCCGGAGCCGTCCATCGGATCGGGATCTTCCCACCCTATGGAGGCAATGGGGGGTAATGGGGGTAATGGAGGGCTATGGGGGCAATGGGGGTTATGGGGGTAATGGGGGCTATGGGGGCTAGGGGGCTGATTGGGGGGGGTCACTGGGTCACGTGTGTCCTTTGTGCCCCCCCTTCAGGTGCAGCAGCCTCCTGGAGCAACCCACAGGGCACAGTGGGAGTCACCCACTGACACCCATTGACATCCATTGACACCCATGGACACCCATTGACACCCACTGGCACCCATGGACACCCATTGACATCCACTGATACCCACTGATACCCATTGACACCCATGGACACCCATTGAGCTCCACTGACATCCATTGACTCCCATGGACGTCCATTGACACCCATGGACGTCCATTGACACCCACTGACACCCATACCCCCACGGGGCCTCACCAGGGAGCTGGTGTAGGTGGGGTCGGCCGAGCCCTCGGGGTCGAGGGCACGGGAGAGGCCGAAGTCGGAGACCTTGCAGACGAGCTGCGCGTCCACCAGGATGTTGCGGGCGGCCAGGTCGCGGTGCACGAACCCGCTCAGCGCCAGGTACCGCATCCCCGCCGCGATGCCCCGCAGCATCGACACCAGCTGCAGCGCGCCCAGCGCCCCCGCGCGGCCCTGCCCGCCGCACACACAGCGCGGCATCAGCGCACCGCACACCACAGTACCCCGTGGCCCACATCCCATAATATCCCGTACATCCCATACCCCATATCCCATACCCCATATCACATGCCCCCCATACATCCCATATCCCATGCCCCCCATACATCCCATATCCCATGCCCCATATCCCATACCCCATATCACATGCCCCCCATACATCCCGTATCCCATGCCCCATATGCTATACCCCATATCCCATATCCCATACCCCATATCACATGCCCCCCATACATCCCGTATCCCATGCCCCATATGCTATACCCCATATCCCATACACCATACATCCCATACCCCATATCCCATACCCCATATCACATGCCCCCCATACATCCCATACACCATACCCCATATCCCATACCCCATATCCCATATCCCATACTATCCCATGCCCCATATCTCATAATATCCCGTACCCCATATCCCCCACCCCACATCCCATATCCCATACCCCATACATCCCATAACCCATACCCCATATCCCCATACCCCACACCCCATATCCTATAACCCATACATCCTATTCCCCATACATTCCATATCCCACTCCCCATACACCACACACACCCCATACCCCCCATACACCTCTCACCCTCCATACCCCCATACCCCCCATACCCCCCATACCCCCCATACCCCCCATACCCCCCATACCGCCCGCTCCCCTTCCCTCTCACCCTGAGGAAGGCGTCGAGGGCGCCGTTCTCCATGTACTCGGTGAGGATCATGGTGGGGGTGCTGGCGGTCACCACCCCCCGCAGCTGCACCACGTTGGGGTGCCGGAACTGCCCCATCCGCGCCGCCTCGCCCAGGAAGTCCCGGCGCTGCCGCTCCCCCGCGCCCCCCTTCAGCGTCTTCACCGCCACCGGCACCTCCGCCTGCCCCGGCAGCGCCAGGCGGCCCCGGCACACCTCCCCGAACTCCCCTATGGGGCACAGGGGGGTACATGGGGGTACGTAGGGGTACATGGGGCACGTAAGGGTCCATAGGGATGCATAGGGATACATGGGGCACATAGGGGTACATGGGGCACATAGGGGTACATAGGGATACATGGGGGCACATGGGGCACATAGGGGTACATGGGGCACATAGGGATACATAGGGATATGTAGGGATACATGGGGCACATAGGGGTACATGGGTATATATAGGGATACATGGGGCACATAGGGGTACGTAGGGATATATAGGGATACATATGGATACATTGGGACACATGAGGCACATGGGGGCACATAGGGACACATAGGGACACATGGAGACATATTGGGACACATGGGGGCACATGGGGCACATAGGGACACATGGGGACACCTCCCCGAGCCCCCCCTTGTAGGGACAGCGACGCCCTGTGACCACCACAGGGACTGCATGGGAGAACCATCAATGGGGACATCAACTGGGACCTCAATGGGGACGGCAATGGGATGAGGGATGGGTACGTCAATGGGAACAGGGATGGGGTCACCCCATAGGATACCCATAGGGCATATAGGGTTCCCATGGGGACAATGGGGGTCACCTGCACCGATGACCTCCTCAATCTTGACGCAGGTGACATCGATCTCCTGCGCGAAGTCCCTGAGCGCCAGCCCCGGGTCCTCGTACGTCAGTGGGTCAATGTAGAGCTTCCCCTCTGCCACCAGCACCCAGCGTCACCCAGTGGCACCCAGAGACACCCCATGGGTCAATGGAGTGTCAATGGGGGGCAATGGGTTTCAGTAACTGTCAACACCCGTCAGTGGTTGTCAGTGGGTGTCCATGGGTGTCAATAACTGTCAGTGGCAGTCAATAGACATCAACAGATGTCAGTGGGTGTCCATGAGAGTCAATGGGTGTCAATGGATGTCAATGGGTGTCCATGGGTGTCAATGGGTGTCCATGGGTGTCCATGGATGTCAATGTATGTCAATGGGTGTCCATGGGTGTCCATGGATGTCAATGTATGTCAATGAGTGTCCATGGATGTCAATGTATGTCAATGGGTGTCCGTGGATGTCAATGTATGTCAATGGGTGTCCGTGGATGTCAATGTATGCCAATGTATGTCAACGGGTGTCCATGGGTGTCCATGGATGTCTATGGGTGTCAATGGGTGACCCTCACCATGCCCCGTGGGTTCTTCCATTTCCTCCTTGTGCCGGAGGCTGCGGCGCCTGAAGAGGGGGTCACAAAGGATACGTGTGACCCAGTGAACCCCCCAATCAGACCCATAGGCCCATTGCCCCCCATAGCCTCCATTACCCTCCCATAGCCCCCATTACCCCCACTGCCCCCCACAGCCCCTGTGCCCCCCTCACCTGAGGCAGAGCAGGGTCCCCGCCAGCAGCGCCAGCACCAGGAGCCCCCCCAGCGCCGCGGCTCCGGCCACGATCCCCCCCTGCTCCGAGCGGGCCCCCTCTGGGTGGGGGAGCATGGGGGGGGGGGGTCACTGGGGGACCGCAGGGGCCCAAAGGGGAGGGTTCAAGGGGGATTGTGGTGGTCCCAGTGGGTATTGGAGGGGTCCCAAAGGGGTCTTGGGGGGGGTTAGGGGAGTCCCAGGGGGGGTGATGGAGGGGTCCCAGGTGTGGTTATGGGGGCACTGGGGGGGTTATGGGGGTCCCTCAGGGGCCCAATGGGGTCATGGGGGGGTCATGAAGGCTCCAGGAGGGTCCCACAAGGGCCCAAAGGGGGTGGGAGGTTTGGGGGGGGTTCAATGGAGTTTATGGGGGTCCCTATAAGTAGTGGGGGTGTCCCAAAGAGGTCATGGGAAGGTCTTGAGGGCTCCAGAGGGGTCATGGGGGGGTCCCAAAGGGGGTGTGGGGGAGTCGGGGGGGGGGCATGGGGTTTATGGGCATCTCAGAGGGGTTATGGGGGTCCCAGTGGGTGCGGAGGGGTCCCAAGGGGCTCAAGGGGGTCCTGGGGTCACAGGGGGGTTCCAGAGCGTTCCAAGGAGGTGTCAATGGGGGGGGCCCAGGGGTACAAGGAGGTGTCAATGGGGGGGTCCCAGGGGGTACAAGGAGGTGTCAATGGGGGGTCCCAGGGGTACAAGGAGGTGTCAATGGGGGGGTTCCAGGGGTACAAGGAGGTGTCAATGGGGGGGTCCCAGGGGTACAAGGAGGTGTCAATGGGGGGGTCCCAGGGGGCACAAGGAGGTGTCAATGGGGGGGTTCCAGGGGTACAAGGAGGTGTCAATGGGGGGGTCCCAGGGGTACAAGGAGATGTCAATGGGGGGGTCCCAGGGGGTACAAGGAGGTGTCAATGGGGGGGTCCCAGGGGTACAAGGAGATGTCAATGGGGGGGTCCCAGGGGGTACAAGGAGGTGTCAATGGGGGGGTCCCAGGGGTACAAGGAGATGTCAATGGGGGGGTCCCAGGGGTACAAGGAGATGTCAATGGGGGGGTCCCAGGGGGTACAAGGAGATGTCAATGGGGGGGTCCCAGGGGGTACAAGGAGGTGTCAATGGGGGGGTCCCAGGGGTACAAGGAGATGTCAATGGGGGGGTCCCAGGGGGTACAAGGAGATGTCAATGGGGGGGTCCCGGGGTACAAGGAGGTGTCAATGGGGGGGTCCCAGGGGGTACAAGGAGATGTCAATGGGGGGGTCCCAGGGGGTACAAGGAGGTGTCAATGGGGGGGTCCCAGGGGTACAAGGAGGTGTCAATGGGGGGGTCCAGGGGTACAAGGAGGTGTCAATGGGGGGATCCCGGGGGGGTTCCGGGGGGTCCTCACCAGTGCCCTGGGTGCTCACGGCCGTCTCAGGCCCGAAGTCCCCGTACCCGGCCTCAGAGCGGGCTCGGACCCGCACCCCATAGAGCCCCCCCCGGCGCAGCCCCCCCAGCTCCGCCCGCGCCGACGGCACCTTCAGGAACATGGGGGGGCCCTCGCCCCCCCCCACCTGCGGATGTCAGAGAATGATAGGCCCCATTGAACCCCATGGACCCCAGTGCCCCCATTGACCCCATTGCCCCATTGAACCCCATGGACCCCAGTGCCCCCATTAACCCCATTGCCCCATTGAAGCACATGGACCCCACTGCCCCCATTGACCCCATTAACCCCATTGCCCCATTGAACCAAATGGACCCCAGTGCCCCCATTAACCCCATTGAACCACATGGACCCCAGGGCCCCCATTGCCCCCATTAACCCCATTGCCCCATTGAAGCACATGGACCCCTGTGCCCCCATTGCCCCCATTAACCCCATTGCCCCTTTGAACCACATGGATCCCAGTGCCCCCATTGCCCCATTGAACCCCAAGGACCCCAGTGCCCCCATTGACCCCATTGCCCCATTGAACCCCATGGACCCCAGTGCCCCCATTAACCCCATTGAAGCACATGGACCCCACTGCCCCCTTGACCCCATTAACCCCATTGCCCCATTGAACCAAATGGACCCCAGTGCCCCCATTAACCCCATTGAAGCACATGGACCCCTGTGCCCCCATTGCCCCCATTAACCCCATTGCACCTTTGAACCACATGGATCCCAGTGCCCCCATTAACCCCATTGCCCCATTGAACCACATGGACCCCAGTGGCCCCATTGCCCCCATTAACCCCAGTGCCCCATTGAACCACATAGACCCAGTGACCTCATAGCCCTTTTGCCCCATTGAACCACACTGACCCCAGTACCCCATTGACCCCATTGCTCGCAATGCCCCCACTGCTCCCAATGCCACCATTGCCCCCATTAACCCCATTGCTCCCATTGCCTCCATTGCCCCCATTCCCCTCATTGCTCCCATTGCCTCCATTGCCCCCATTCCCCTCATTGCTCCCATTGCCCCCATTGCCTCCATTGCCCCCATTCCCCTCATTGCTCCCATTGCTCCCATTGCCCCCATTCCCCCCATTGCCCCTATTGCTCCCATTGTCCCCATTGCTCCCGACGCCCCAACTGCCCCCATCAACCCTATCACCCCCATCTCCCCCATTACCCCCTTTGTCCCCCCTCACCTTCTCATAGTATTTGACCTCATAGTCCAGAACGTGCCCCCCGGGGGGGGGTGGGGGTGGTGTTGGCCATGACAGCGTCACCCCGGTGGGGGAGGCCCCGACCCGCACCACATCCACCACAGGCAATGGCACTGGGGGGGGGAGGGGGGGGGGAAATTGGGGTTACTTCAGGTCATTTCGGGGTTACTATCGGTCATTGGGGTCACCTAGGGGTCACGTTGGGGTTACTATCGGTCATTGGGGTCACCTAGGGGTCATGCTGGGGTTACTTCAGGTCATTGGGGTCACTTGGGGTCATTGGGTTACTTGGGGTCATTTCGCCGGATTTTTGAGCAACCCGGGGTTACTTCAGGTCATTTTCAGGGCCTCTTTGGGGTCACTAGAGGTCACGTTGGGGTTACTAGCGGTCACTTTGGGGTTACTCGAGGTCATTTCGGGCTCTTTGGGGTTACTTGAGGTCACTTTGGGGTTACTAGAGGTCATTTCGGGCTCTTTGGGGTTACTTGAGGTCACTTTGGGGTTACTAGAGGTCATTTCGGGCTCTCTGGGGTTACTCGAGGTCACTTTGGGGTTACTTTGGGTCATTTTGCCCTGTTTGGGGTTACTTTGGGTCATTTTGGACTGTTTGGGGTGATTTTGGGTCATTTTGAGTGTTTTTGAGCAGTTTGGGGTGACTTGGGGTCATTTTGAGTGATTTTGGGCAGTTTGGGGGTGCCTTTCGGGGAGTTGGGGTGACTTTGGGCCATTTTAAGTGATTTTGGGGCACTTTGGGGTTACTTTGGATCAGTTCAGTCACTTTGGATCGTTTTGGGAAGGGGGGGTCGTTTTGGGGCCACTTTGGGTCCTTTTGGGGGGCTTGGGGCACTTTGGGTCAGTTCGGGTCATTTTTGGGTCCATTTTGGGTCACGTCGGGTCAGTCTGGATGAGTTCCGGCCCATTCAGAGCAGTCCGGGTCCGTTTGGGTCTGTTCGGGTCCATTCGGGTCAGTCCAGGTCAGTCCGGGTCCGTCCGTGTCTGTTCGGGTCCCTCCGGGTCCGTTCGGATCCATTCGGATCCGTTCGGGTCCGTTTGGGTCTGTTCGGGTCAGTTTGGATCCGTCCGTGTCCGTTCAGGTCCGTCCGCGTCCATTCGGATCCATTCAGATCCGTTCAGGTCCGTCCGGGTCCGTTCAGGTCCGTCCGGGTCCGTTCAGATCCGTTCAGGTCCGTCCGGGTCCATTCAGGTCCGTTCGGGTCCGTCCGTGTCCGTTCAGGTCCGTTCGTGTCCATTGGGATCCGTTCAGGTCCGACCGGGTCCATTCAGGTCCGTTCGGGTCCGTTTGGATCCATTCGGATCCGTTCGGGTCCGTCCGGGTCCGTTCAGGTCCGTTCGTGTCCATTCGGATCCGTTCAGGTCCGTCCATGTCCGTCCGTGTCCGTTCGGGTCCGTCCGTTTCCGTTCGGATCCATTCGGGTCCGTTCAGGTCCGTCCGTGTCCGTCCGCGTCCGTTCGGATCCATTCGGATCCCTTCGGGTCCGTTCAGTTCCGTCCGTGTCCGTTCGGATCCGTTCGGGTCCGTTCGGGTCCATTCGGGTCCGTTCAGGTCCGTCCGTGTCCGTCCGCGTCCGTTCGGATCCATTCGGATCCCTTCGGGTCCGTTCAGTTCCGTCCGTGTCCGTTCGGGTCCGTTCGGATCCGTTCGGGTCCGTTCGGGTCCATTCGGGTCCGTTCAGGTCCGTCCGTGTCCGTCCGCGTCCGTTCGGATCCATTCGGATCCCTTCGGGTCCGTTCAGGTCCGTCCGTGTCCGTTCGGATCCCTTCGGGTCCGTTCAGGTCCGTCCGTGTCCGTTCGGATCCATTCGGATCCCTTCGGGTCCGTTCAGGTCCGTCCGTGTCCGTTCGGATCCATTCGGATCCCTTCGGGTCCGTTCAGGTCCGTCCGTGTCCGTCCGTGTCCGTTCGGGTCCGTTCGGATCCGTTCGGGTCCGTCCGGGTCCGTCCGCCCGCGTCCGCCCCTGTCCCGCGCTCACCCTCCCCGCAGCACGTGACGTTGACGTCGGCGCTGGCGGCGGGGCCGGGGCTGAGCGCGCTGACGCCGCTGGTGGCGGTGACCCGGAAGCTGTAGCGGAGGCGCGCGCGGAGGCCGCTGACGGTGACCGCGGGCGCGCGCACGGCGGCGGCGCCGGGGCTGAAGCTGAGGCCGGAGCAGGGCGCGCACGGCCCCGCCCCCCCCCGCGCCGGGCACTGCCGGCACGAGACCGAGAACGAGAGGTCCCCGCGCTCCGCCCCGACCCGGGGGCGCGCCCACAGCAGCCGCGCCGCGGAGCCGTTGAGCAGGGCCTGGAGACCACGGGGGGCCGAGGGGGGAGCTGCGGGGGGGGGGCAGAGAGAGAGAGAGAGGGGGGGAGATCGGATGGAGCGTCCCGATGGGTACAGAGCATCCCTATGGGTACAGAGCATCCCTATGGGTACAGAGCATCCCGATGGGTACAGAGCATCCCTATGGGTACAGAGCATCCCGATGGGTACAGAGCATCCCGATGGGTACAGAGCATCCCTATGGGTACAGAGCATCCCGATGGGTACAGAGCATCCCGATGGGTACAGAGCATCCCTATGGGTACAGAGCATCCCGATGGGTACAGAGCATCCCTATGGGTACAGAGCATCCCTATGGGTATGGGATGGAGCGTCCCTAGGGAGCATCCCTATGGGTATGGGATGGAGCACCCCGATAGATACAGAGCATCCCTAGGGAGCATCCCTATGGGTATGGGATGGAGCATCCCTATGGTTATAGAGCATCCCTATGGAGCATCCCTATGGGTATGGGATGGAGCATCCCTGTGGAGCATGGACATAGAGCATCCTTATGGATATGGGGTACAGCAGGGATACAGCATCCCTATGATGGATATCGGATAGAGCATCCCTATGGATATAGATAGAGCAGGGATAGAGCATCCCTATGGAGCAGAGACATAGAGATCCCTATGGATATGGGATGGAGCATCCCAATGGAGCATGGGGATAGAGCAACCTAATGATGGATATGGGATAGAACATCCCAGTGGATACAGGATAGAGCATCCATATAGACCAAGGGATACAGCATCCCTATGGATATGGGGTAGAGCATCGCTATGCATATAGGATAGAGCATCCCTATGAGCTTGGATGATGGAGTCTGGACCCCCAGTTCCACCTCCCCCCATATCCTCAGCCCCCCAGTTCCCCCCTCCATAGACCCAGGCCCCCAATACCCCATAGACCCCCATATTCCCCCATAGCCCCCCCCATAGCCCCCCCTGGTGCCTACCGGAGCAGCGGAGCTCGGGGCCCTCGCCGGGGGCCCGGAAGTGCCCGGGGCTGCAGGCACAGGCAACGGCGCCGGGGACCAGAGCCTGGCTCTCGGGGGGGCAGGGCTCACACCGCCCCCCCCCCACCTCCGCCTTGAAGCTCCCAGGGGGGCAGGCTTGGGGGGAGGGGGGGTGGGAGAGAGAGAGGGGTAATGTGGGGATACAGCTGGGACACAGTGACCCATAGCGCCCCATAGCGCCCATAGCACCCGTAGCACCCCATAGTGAACATACAGTGCTCCATAGCGCTCATACACTACCTCATAGCACCCATAGCACCTACACACTGCCCCATAGTGCCCATAGCACCCATACACTCCCCCATAGAACTCATAGCACCCATACACTGCCCCGTACTGCCCATAGCACCCATACACTGCCCCATAGCCCCCATATCACCCATAGTACCCATAGCACCACATAGCACCCATAGCCCCCATAGCACTCATACAGTGCCCCATAGCACCCATACATTGCCCCGTAGCATCCATAGCACCCATAGCACCCATACAGTGTCCCATAGCACCATAGCCCCCATAGCACCCATACAATGCCCCACAGCACCGTAGGCCCTATAGCACCCATACAGTGCCCAATAGCACCCATAGCACCCACACACTGCCCCATAGCACCCATAGCACCTATAGCACCTATACATGCCCGATAGCACCCATAGCACACACACACTGCCCCATAGCACCCATAGCACCTATAGCACCCATACGTACCCAATAGCACCCACAGCACCCACACACTGCCCCATAGCACCCATAGCACCTATAGCACCCATACACTACCCCATAGCACCCACAGCCCCCATACCCCCCCATACTCACGCCTGCACCCGGCCCCTCCATCGTCCTCGCTGCCAGCCCCGCACTCGCAGCCCTGTGCCGGGGGCTCTGCCCACCTCCCGTCCTCCCGGCAGTACATGAGGGGCCCCCCGGCGCCCGCCGGCACGGCCCCCGGCACGCAGCGGCCCTGCACGGGCGCCACGAGCTCGCGGGGCAGCGTGGGGGGGAAGCGGGCGCGCAACGCGGTCACGGCCGGGCAGCGCTGCAGGAAGAGGCGCACCGAGAGCAGCGCCAGGCACGCGCCCACGTCCTGGAAGGCCACGTAGAAGCCGGCGCGGCTCAGGGGGCCCAGGCGCAGCGTGCGCCGGTTCAGACCCCCCCCACCGCCACCGCCGCGCCGCGGTCCGGTCCGGGTCAGGTGCTCGGCCGCCACCGTGCCCACCTTCACGTAGGGGTTCTCCATCCACGGCGGCGACAGCGCCGTGGCCGTGTCGGCGTCGGCCTCATGGTAGAACACGGTGAAGGTCTCCTTGCAGGGCCGCGGTGGGAAGGAGGCGGCGCGGCCGCGGCGGTGCTGGGACCCAGAAGTGTTGCTATGGGCGTCGTGGTTGGCGAGGAGACCGTGGATGTCAATGGCGTTGCTATGGGCATCGCGGTTGTCATGGTGATCGTGGGACCCAGAAGCGTTGCTATGGGCGTCGTGGTTGGCGAGGAGACCGTGGATGTCAATGGCGTTGCTATGGGCATCGCGGTTGTCATGGTGATCGTGGTACCCAGAAGCGTTGCTATGGGCATCGTGGTTGGCGAGGAGACCGTGGATGTCAATGGCGTTGCTATGGGCATCGCGGTTGTCATGGTGATCATGGTACCCAGAAGCGTTGCTATGGGCGTCAGGATTGGCATGGAGACCGTGGATGTCAATGGCGTTGCTATGGGCATCGCGGTTGTCATGGTGATCGTGGTACCCAGAAGCGTTGCTATGGGCGTCAGGGTTGGCATGGAGACCGTGGATGTCAGTGGCGTTGCTATGGGCATTGCGGTTGTCATGGTGATCGTGGTACCCAGAAGCGTTGCTATGGGCATTGTGGCTGTGATGGAGACCGTGGTTGTCAATGGCGTTGCTAAGGGGATCGTGGTACCCAGAAGTGTTGCTATGGGCATCATTGTTGCTAAGAGCATCGTGGTTGGCATGGAGGCCGTGGTTGTCAATGGTGTTGCTATGGGCATCATCGTTGCTAGGACCATTGCTAAGAGCATCATAGTATCCAGGGTAGTTGCTATGGGCATCATCATTGTTAACAGCATCGTGGTATCCAGGGGCGTTGCTATGGGCATCGTGGTTGGCATGGAGACCGTGGTCATCAATGGCGTTGCCATGGGCATCTTCGTTGCTACGAGCATCACGGTATCCAGCGTAGTTGCTATGGGTGTCATGGTTGTCATGGCGATTGCGGTACCCAGCCGTGTTGCCACGGGCACCATGGGTACCAAGACCAGTGTGAAGAGCACCATGGTTGCCAAGGGCGCGGTGGTTGCCAGGGCTGTTGCCAAGAGCATCCCGGTTGCCAGGCAGGTTGCTAAGGCTGTCACCAGGAGCATCCCGGTCCCCAGGGCCGTTCCCAGGCGCACTCCGGTGCCCGGCTCCGTTGCCGGTGGCGCGGCGGCGCCGGTGCCGGTGCCGGGGGAGGCTGTCGCAGGCCAGGACGCTGTAGTGCAGCTCCAGGTAGACGTGGGTGGCCCCGCGGCGCGGCACCCACCGCGACCGGAGCCAACTGTTCTGGGGGGGGCCGGGGGGGGCCAGCGCCGAGCACACCTCGAACGTGCGCACGGAGGAGCCGCGCTCGGGGTCCAGCGCCGAAACCTCCTCCCACTGCCGGCAATGGGGACAGGGGGGAGCGATGGGAGAAGCGTCCCCGGCCATCCCCATATCCCATAATATCCCTTATCCCATAATATCCCATACCCCATACCCTATATGCCATACCCCACATCCCATACCCTATATCCCATACTGCATAATCTCATATCCTATATCCCATACCCCATATCCCATACCCCACATCCCATATCCCCATAGCCCATAATATCCCGTATCCCACAATAACCCTTATCCCATAATCCCATACCCCATATCCTATACTCCATACCCCATATCACATACCCCATACCCCATATCCCATACCCCACATCCCATAATATCCCGTTTCCCATCCCCACCTGCCCCTCTCCCTGTGGATACACCGTCCATTTCAGATCCGTTGTCTCCAGCCTCGTGTTCAGCAGCGTCTCTGGGGGGGATGGGACAGGAGGGTTAGGGGGGTCCAGCCCCACATTCCATAGGATCCCCATCCCGGCCCCACATCCCACAGGATCCCCATCTCCAGCCCCACATCCCATAGGATTCCCGTCCCAGCCCCACATTCCATAGGATCCCTGTCTCCAGCCCCACATTCCAGCCCCACATCCCATAGGATCCCCGTCTCCAGCCCCACATCCCATAGGATCCCCGTCCCAGCTCCACATCCCACAGGATCCCTGTTCCAGCCCCACATCCCATAGGATCCCCATCCTGTCCCCACATCCCATAGAATCCCCGTCCCATCCCTACATCCCATAGGATCCCTGTCTCCAGCCCCACATCCCATAGGATCCCTGTTCCAGCCCCACATCCCATAGGATCCCCGTCCCGGCCCCACAACCCACAGGATCCCCGTCCCATCCCTACATCCCATAGGATCCCTGTTCCAGCCCCACATCCCACAGGATCCCCGTCCCGGCCCCACATCCCACAGGATCCCTGTTCCAGCCCCACATCCCATAGGATCCCTGTTCCAGCCCCACATCCCATAGGATCCCTGTCCCAGCCCCACATCCCACAGGATCCCCGTCCCATCCCTACATCCCACAGGATCCCTGTCTCCAGCCCCACATCCCATAGGATCCCTGTCTCCAGCCCCACATCCCATAGGATCCCTGTTCCAGCCCCACATCCCACAGGATCCCCGTCCCGGCCCCACATCCCACAGGATCCCCGTTCCAGCCCCACATCCCACAGGATCCCCGTCCCGGCCCCACATCCCACAGGATCCCCGTCCCAGCCCCCCATCCCCCAGGATCCCCGTCCCAGCCCCATAGGACCCCATTGCTCACCCTCCTCAGCGCACCCCATCTGCACCCACAGCCACAGCAGCCACAGCCCCATGGCGGAGGGGGGGTCCCAGTGCCCCCTCCCCCCCCTCGGGGGGGGCCCCGGTGCCCGTGGATGGGGGAGGGGGCGGATTTTGGGGTGAATCCGGGCGGGTTTGGGTCCGTTCGTGCCCGCGGGTCCCGGTCCCTGGGTCCGGCCCGGGCCCCCCCTCCCCCCCCCCCCAGCAGGGAGGGGCCGGGAACGGGGGGGGAGGGGCAGGAAACGCCTTTGTTGAGCGCTTCCCCCCGGGGGGGAGGGGAGGATGCGGGGTGGTGACCCCGGGCAGGGAGGAGGGGGGGGGGAGGGGGGGCCCGGAGGGGGGGCTGGGATGGGATTGGGATGGATTGGGATGGACTGGGATGGATCGGGATGAACTGGGATGGGATTGGGATGGATTGGGATGGACTGGGATGGGATTGGGATGGACTGGGATGGACTGGGATGGGATTGGGATGGATTGGGATGGACTGGGATGGGATTGGGATGGATTGGGATGGACTGGGATGGATCGGGATGAACTGGGATGGGATTGGGATGGACTGGGATGGGATTGGGATGGGATTGGGATGGATTGGGATGGACTGGGATGGGATTGGGATGGACTGGGATGGACTGGGATGGGAATGGGATGGATTGGGATGGACTGGGATGGGATTGGGATGGACTGGGATGGGATTGGGATGGATTGGGATGGACTGGGATGGGATTGGGATGGACTGGGATGGACTGGGATGGGAATGGGATGGATTGGGATGGACTGGGATGAACTTGGATAGGATTGGGATGGACTGGGATGGGATTGGGATGGATTGGGATGGACTGGGATGGGATTGGGATGGACTGGGATGGGAATGGGATGGATTGGGATGGACTGGGATGGACTTGGATGGGATTGGGATGGACTGGGATGGGAATGGGATGGACTGGGATGGATTGGGATGGATTGGGATGGACTGGAATGGATTGGGATGGGATTGGGACGGATTGGGATGGGATTGGGATGGATTGGGACGGATTGGGATGGACTGGAATGGATTGGGATGAGATTGGGATGGGATTGGGATGGACTGGGGTGGATTTGGGGGGTCCTTGAGGGTCATTTGGGGTCACTGTGGAGGTCATGGGGGGGTACCGGTTGCCGGGGGTGGGGGGGTGGGGGGGTGTTGAAGCTCCCTGTACGCATGCGCGGCGCTCTCCCGCCCAAACGGCGCCGAGGCCGCAATGGCGCCGCCCAGTCCGGCTTCAGATCAAACATGGCCGCCCCCAGCCCCGCTCACGTGACCCTCCCGAGGCGGAGACTGCGGGCGACGCGGGGGGGGGAGGGACAATGGGAGGGGACGGCGCATGCGCGGTCCCGCTTCCCGCCTGCGCGCCGTACCATAGAGTTGGAGTCCTCCAAGGCGCCACTTAGGCCGCCTCCCTCTACCATAGAGCTCCCCGCTGCGGCCTGCTCCCCGTTCCCCACCTTCCCCTCTCGTTCCCGCTCCTTCCCCGCCCGTTCCCGTGGCGACCGCGCCGCAACCACCTCAGTCCTCCAGCGCGGCTAGAGCGTCCTCCCCACCCCTTCCGTGTTACGTCACATCCGGCCGGCGCCAACCGGAAGCGGACGGGCGGCCGCGCGGGGAGCGCGTCGCCACCGACACCGGCGCGAGGTGCGGGGGGTGACGTCAGGGAGCGGGGGGGGTGACGTCAGAACGGGGAAGGAGGGGGGTGGGGGTGCCGAGGGGTATTGTGGGCCGTTGGAGGACCCCCGTGACCGGCTCCGTTCGCAGCGATGGCGGACAGCGATGACGAGTACGACCGGCGCCGCCGGGACAAGTTCCGCCGCGAGCGCAGCGACTACGACCGGTCCCGGGAGCGGGAGGAGCGGCGCCGCGAGGACTGGAGCGACCGGTAACGGGGGGGGACGGGGTTTGGAACGGACCAAGGCTCGTTATGGGGGGGGGGGGGGTGTCCCGGAGGACCGGGCCTTGGAGCTGACCAAGTCCCCTTGGGGGGGGGGGTCCTAAGGAGCAGCCCAAGTCCTGTTATGGGGGGTGTCCGCAATGGTTCCCTTTCTCTCCCCCCCCTCCCCCGTTTCCATAGGGATTGGGACCGGGGCCGGGAGCGCCGGAGCCGTGGCGAGTACCGGGACTACGACCGGACCCGGCGGGAGCGCTTCTCCCCCCCCCGGCACGAGCTCAGCCCCCCCCAGAAGCGCCTGCGCCGGGATTGGTGAGAACCGAACCCCCACCGCCCCCATAGATCCCAATGGATCCCAATGGATCCGGCTCCATCCGCACCCCCCGTTCCCTAGGGATGAGCACAGCGCGGATCCCTACCACAGCGGCTACGAGGGGCCCTACAGCGGGGGGGGCGCCGGCCCCACCTATGGCCCCCCCCAGCCCTGGGGGCACCCCGAGATGCACGTGATGCAGCACCACATCCTGCCCATCCAGGCCAGGTAAGGACCCGACACGCCCCAGAGCGGGCTGAAACGGGCCAAAAATGGTAAAAACACTCCCAAAAAGTGCCCTGAAACACCCCAAAGCACCCTACAAGTGCCCCACAGCACCACAGAATGGGTTGAAAATGCTCAAAAATGGCTAAAACCAACCCAAAAGTGCCCTAAAACACCTTAGAAGTGCTCCACATCACTCAGTAACAGCCCCAAACACCACAGAATGGGCTGAAACCTCCTAAGAATGGCTAAAAACACCCCAAAAGCGCCCTAAAACACCCTGTAAGTGTCCCAAGTCGCTCAATAAGAGCCCCAAATCCCCCATAACCCCCCTGTAATTCCCCCATAACCTCCCCATAGCCACCCCATTATCCCCCCATAATCCCCCAAGACCCCCAATAACCTACCCATAACCCCATCATAACCACCCCATACCCCCCATAACCCCCCAAAATACCTCCATAACTGCCCCATAACCCTCCCAAAATCCCCCATAACCCCCCCATTACCTCCCCAAACCCCTCCATAACCCCCCAAACTCCTCCATAACCCCACATAACCTCCCATTATCTCCCTAAACCCCTCCATAACTGCCCCTTAGCCCCCCCCAAGTGCCCCCCTAGCGTGGCCTTGGGGGGTCCTGACAGTGCCGTTGCCCCCCAAGCAGACTGGGGAACATCGCGGAGGTGGAGCTGGGCCTGGCCCCCCCCGTGCTCAAGAGCTTCAAGGAGTTCCTGCTCTCGCTGGACGACGCCGTGGATGAGACGGAGGCCGTGAAGCGCTACAACGACTACAAGGTGGACTTCCGACGGCAGCAGCTGCAGGACTTCTTCCTGGCACACAAGGATGAGGAGTGGTGCGTGGGGGGGGGGGAACGGCCCCAAAACCGGGGAAAACGGCCCCAGAAATGGGAAAAACGCCCCCAGAAAAGGGAAAAATGACACCAAAAAATGGCAGGAACGGCCCCAGAAATGGGAAAACCGGCCCCAGAAATGGGAAAAATGACACCAAAAATGGCAGGAACGGCCCCAGAAATGGGAAAAACACCCCAGAAATAACCCAAAATAGGACAAAACCAGCCCCAGAAATGGGAAAAATGAGCCCAGAAATGGCAGGAACAGCCCCCAAAATGGGAAAAACGCCCTCAGAAATGGCAGAAAAGACCCAAAATATGACAAAACCAGCCCCAGAAATGGGAAAAATGACCCTAAAATGGCAGAAATGACCCCCCAAAAAATAGGAAAAATGGCCCCCAAAATGGCAAAACCAGCCCCAGAAACAGCAAAAATGCCTCCTAAAATGGCAGAAACAGCCCCAAAATGGCAAAAATGCCAAGAGAAATGGCAGAAATGCCCCCCAAAATTGAAAAATTCCCCAAGAAATGGGAAAAATGCACCTAAAATGGCAGAAACACACCCAGAAATGGTGAAACCCCCCCTAAAAATGATAGAAATGCCTCTAAAATGGCAAAAATGCACCTAAAAATGGTGAAAACACCTCCAAAACTAGTGGAAACAGGCCAGAACAAAAGAAACAGTCCTAAAATTGGTTGAAAAGCCGCTAAAAAGTTAAAAACACTCTCCACAATGTTTGAAACGCCCCCAAAACAGTAAAAGCACCCCTAAAAATGAAGCAGCCCCAAAACGGTAGAAACACCCCTAAATCCTGTAGAAACACCCCCAAAACGGTAACCCCTCCCAAAAGCATTGGAAACGCCCTCAAAACGGCCGAAAAGCGCCCCAAACAGTAAAAGCGCCCCTGAAAACGTTGGAAGCACCCCTAAAAACGTTGGAAACGCCCCCAGAACGATAGAAACGCCCCTAGAACGGTTGGAAACGTCCCCAGAACGGTAGAAACGCCCCCAAAACGATAGAAACGCCCCTAGAACGCTCGAAACGCCCCTAAACCGGTTGGAAACGCCCGAAAAAAGTTAGAAAAGCCCCCCCAAATGTTAAAATCGCCCTTAAAACCGTTGGAAACTCCCCCAGAACGTTGGAAACGCCCCCAAAGCGTTAGAAACGCCCCCAAGCCGTTGGAAACGCCCCCAAAGCGGCCGCCTAGCCGCTGGAAGCAGCAGCGAGGCCCCTGCTGGGACCGGACCAAGTGGGGCTGGGGGCGGGGGGGGGCCGGGGTGGTGCCGCGGATGTTAACGACCGTTCCCTTTTCTCCCCTCCTCCGAAGCGCCCCCTCCGGAGCCGCCTGGAGCCTTAATCCCCCCCCCTAAGAGGCGGGTTGGTTTGGCCCCCCCCCGGGTTGGAGCGGTCTATGTGCGGCCCGGGGGGGGGGCTGCGGGCAGACAGCGAGGGCTCAGCGCCGCGCACAATGCGGCCCATAGGCGCACAGTGGCAGGACGCAGGCAGGGCGTTTGTTGTTTTCTTTTTGGGGGCCCCCCCCCCAAACCCCCAATGGGGGGGTCCCTTTTTGGAGCGTTTTGGGGGTGTTCCCCCCCCACTTTAATGGTAAGCGCCGAAGCGGGGCCGGCTGGACAGAGACGGGTATGTATGACCCCCCCCCCCCGCCATTGGTAGGCTCTGCACCCCCACACCGGGAGCAGGAGGGGGGGGAGATGGGGAGGGGGATTGGGGTCTGATATGGGGGTCCCTGCACCCCATTTGGGGCTGAGGGGGTCCCCATGTCCTGATTGGGTACAAGTGGGGTCTCCTATGCCCCCCCCCACTAATATGGGGGGCTCTCTATACCCCCTTATGTAACTATGGGGGTTTCTGTACCCCAGTTATCAACTGGGGGGGTCCCCCATCTCCCCCCATTAACATGGGCGGCTCGCTGTACCCCATTATGGAGCTGCGGGGGTCCCTGTACCCCACTTATGAAGTGGGGGGGTCCCCCCATCTCCCCCTACTAACATGAGGGGGCTCCCCCCACCCCATCTTTGCTATAGTGGGGCAGCCCACTGCGTGCCTATGGGGGGGTCCCATTACCAGGACCATTCACCCCCCCCCCCACCCTTGCTATGGTGCAGCCCAGCGTGTGTGTGTGATGGGGACGGGGCTCCCCCATTGGTGCCATGGGGGGGGGGTTCTGCTCCCCGGAGCATCCCATTGCGTGCCTATGGGGGGGATGCTGATGCTGTGCCCCCCTGCGGACCCCCCCGTGGCAGGTTCCGGTCCAAGTACCACCCGGACGAGGTGGGCCGGCGGCGGCAGGAGGCCCAGGCCGCGCTGCGGAACCGCCTCAACGTCTTCCTGTACCTGGCGGACAACGGCTGGTTCGAGAACCTGCTCCTGGACATCGACCGCGCGCCCGCCATCGTCAAGACCCTGGATGCAGGTGGGGACCCCCCGGGGGTGCCCTAAACCAGCCCTTGGTGCCCTAAACCCATCCATGGTGCCCTGATCCCATCCGTGGTGCCCTAAACCCATCCATGGTGCCCTAAACCCATCCATGGTGCCCTGATCCCATCCGTGGTGCCCTAACCTCATCCCTGGTGCCCTGATCCCATCCGTGGTGCCCTAAACCCATCCATGGTGCCCTGATCCCATCCGTGGTGCCCTAAACCCATCCATGGTGCCCTGATCCCATCCGTGGTGCCCTTAACCTCATCCATGGTGCCCTAAACCAGCCCTTGGTGCCCTAAACTCATCCATGGTGCCCTGATCCCATCCGTGGTGCCCTTAACCTCATCCATGGTGCCCTAAACCAGCCCTTGGTGCCCTAAACTCATCCATGGTGCCCTGATCCCATCCGTGGTGCCCTAAACCCATCCATGGTGCCCTAACCCCATCCCTGGTGCCCTAACCTCATCCATGGTGCCCTAACCCCATCCCTGGTGCCCTAACCTCATCCCTGGTGCCCTAAACCCCATCCATGGTGCCCTAACATCATCCATGGTGCCCTAAACCCATCCCTGGTGCCCTAACCTCATCCCTGGTGCCCTAACCCCATCCATGGTGCTCTAACTCCATCCAAGGTGCTCTAACCCCATCCATGGTACTCTAACCCCATCTATGGTGCCCTAACCCCATCTAAGATGCCCTAAACCCCATCCATGGTGCTCTAACCCCATCCCTGGTGCCCTAACCCCATCTATGGTGCCCTAAACCCCATCCCTGGTGCCCTAACCCCATCCCTGGTGCCCTAACCCCATCTATGGTGCCCTAACCCCATCTATGGTGCCCTAAACCCATCCCTGGTGCCCTAACCCCATCTATGGTGCCCTAAACCCCATCCATGGTACCTGACCCCCCCCTTTCTCACTGCCACCCCCCAGCCGTGATCAAGATGGAGGGGGGCACGGAGCACGACCTCCGCATCCTGGAGCAGGAGGAGGAGGAGGAGCGCGGAGACAAGGCCGAAGGCCCCCGGAAGGAGGAGCCAAGGCCCCCGGAGCCCGAGCGCAAGGGGGGCCCCGAGGACAAGGAGGAGAAGAAGGTTTGGGGTCATCCCCCCCACCCCCCCACCGGGGTGCCCTTGGGGTCCCCTTGGCCCCATAGAGGCCCTGTTGGAGTCCCCCCATGTTCCTTGGGGTCGGTTTTGGGCTCCCCCTGGCCCCGCATTGCCCCCAGTGACCCCATTGTCCCTATGACCCCATTGTCCCCAGTGACCCCATTGTCCCTATGACCCCCTTGCCCCCAGTGACCCCATTGCCCCCGATGACTCCCATTGCCCCCATGACCCCATTGCCCCCCATGACCCCATTGGCCCCGATGACCCCCCTTGCCCCCCATGACCCCCTTGCCCCCCATGACCCCCTTGCCCCCAATGACCCCCATTGTCCCCATTGCCCCCCAGGGTGACGGTGAAGCCGGGGGGCAGGAGCCGGGCGCAGTGGGGCCGGAGCAGCAGCAGCAGCCACAGGAGCAGGACAAGGGCCAGGACGAGGAGGGGGAACCGAGGGCAAGAAGGTGAGTGGGGACCCCCCCCAGGCCACGCCCCCTTCAAAGCCACGCCCCCTGTCCTGCGCTAGGCTCTTACCCTTTGGCTCCTCCATTTCTCCACTGGCTCCTCCCTTTTCCTATTGGCTCCTCCCCTTTGCTCCAATCCCCTCCCCTTCCCCGCCCTTGTGCTCCGTGCCCCCTCCCCCTTAAGCCACGCCCAGGCCCCCCCCCCTTGACTCCTCCCCTTTCTCCCCCCAGCGCCCCCGCAGCGGCAACGACAGCGACGAGGATGAGGACGGGAGCGACTCCGACAGCGACCGGGAGCGGGGCCGGCGCCCGGCCGAGAGCCAGGGTGGGCCCTATGGGGGGGCGCTATTGGGGTCCCTATGGAGGGCCCTGTTGGGGTCCCTGTAGGGGGGCTCTATGGGGGACCCTGTTGGGAGGTGCTATTGGGGTCCCTATTGGGATCACTTTTGGGGGGGCCTGTAGTGGGTTCCTGTTGGGGTCTCTATGGGGTCCCTATGGGGGGTCCATGTTGGGGTCTCTATTGGGGTCATTATGGGGGGGTCCTATTGGGGTGCATATTGGGGTCCCTGGGGGGAGAGCTCTATGTTGGTGTCCTTATTGGGGTCCCTTTGGGGGGTTCCTATAGTGTCCCTATTGGAGTCCGTATGGGGGGGCACTATTGAAGTCCCTATTGGGGTCTCTATGAGGTTCCTAAGGGATCCTTATGGGGGTGTCCGTATGGGGGTGCTCATCTCTTCCCCCCCCATATCCCCCCAGAGGAGAAGGCCAAGGAGGAGAAGAGCCGTGAGGACGAGGGGGGCTCGGCCCCCCAAAGGCAAAGGAGAAGGAGCCGGGGGGAGGGGCAGCAGCGGCAGGGGCAGGAGGGGGGTGCGGGGGGGGGACCCCAAACCCCGGCCCCTGCACAAGACCTGCTCCTTGTTCATGAGGAACATCGCGCCCAACATCGCCCAGGCCGAGATCGTGGCGGTGAGAGACGGGGGAAGGGGGTTAATGGGGGGGGGAGGTGGTTTTGGGGTGCTCCAGGGCCCCCCCAAACCCCGTCACCCCCTTTACCCCCCCCCCCCCCGCAGCTCTGCAAGCGCTACCCTGGCTTCATGCGCGTGGCTCTGTCCGAGCCCCAGCCCGAGAGGAGGTGGGTGCCCCCCACCCCCCATTATGGGGATCCCCCCCCATTACCCTTCATTATGGGGGCACATCCGGTGTGTTCCCTCCCCCATTATAGGGATCCCATCCTGTGTGCCCCCCCCATTATGGGAGTCCCATCCTCTGTGTCCCCCCACCCATTACCCTTCACATACTGTGTGTCCCCCCCCATTTTGGGGGTCACGTCCTGTCCCCCCCCATTCCCTCCATTATGGGAGTCCCATCCTCTGTGTCCCCCCACCCATTACCCTTCACATACTGTGTGTCCCCCCCCATTTTGGGGGTCACGTCCTGTCCCCCCCCATTCCCTCCATTATGGGGGTCCCATCCTGTCTCCCCCCCCATCCAGGTTCTTCCGCCGGGGCTGGGTCACCTTCGACCGCAGCGTGAACATCAAGGAGATCTGCTGGAGCCTGCAGAACATCCGGGTCCGGGCGGGTTTGGGAGTGATTTGGGGGGGGGGGGTTAGGGTTAGGGTTAGGGTCCCTATAAGGTCTGTGTGTCCCTATAGGATATATGTGTCCTCTGCAAGGTCTATATGTTCCTATAAGGTCTGTGTGTCCCCTATGGGGTCTGTGTGTCCCCTATGGGGTCTATGGGTCCCCTATGGTGTCTGTGTGTCCCCTATGGGATCTGTGTGTCCCCTGTGGGGTCTATGGGTCCCCTATGGGGTCTATGGGTCCCCTATGGGGTCTGTGTGTCCCCTATGGGGTCTGTGTGTCCCCTGTGGGGTCTGTGTGTCCCTTATGGGGTCTATGGGTCCCCTATGGGGTCTGTATGTCCCCTGTGGGGTCTGTGTGTCCCCTATGGGGTCTATGGGTCCCCTATGTGGTCTGTGTGTCCCCTATGGGGTCTGTGGGTCCCTTATGGGGTCTATGGGTCCCCTATGGGGTCTGTATGTCCCCTATGGGGTCTGTGTGTCCTCTGTGGGGTCTGTGTGACCCCTATGGGGTCTGTGGGTCCCCTGTGGGGTCTGTGTGTCCCCTGTGGGGTCTGTGTGTCCCCTATGCGGTCTGTGTGTCCCCTATGGGGTCTATGGGTCCCCTATGGGGTCTGTGTGTCCCCTGTGGGGTCTGTGTGTCCCCTATGGGGTCTGTGTGTCCCCTGTGGGGTCTGTGTGTCCCTTATGGGGTCTATGGGTCCCCTATGGGGTCTGTATGTCCCCTATGGGGTCTGTGTGTCCCCTATGGGGTCTATGGGTCCCCTATGGGGTCTGTGTGTCCCCTGTGGGGTCTGTGTGACCCCTATGGGGTCTGTGGGTCCCCTATGAGGTCTGTATGTGCGCTGTGGTCCCCATTGCAGCTGCGGGACTGCGAGCTGAGCCCGGGGGTGAACCGGGACCTGACGCGGCGCGTGCGCAACGTGAGCGGCATCACGCAGCACCGGCCCATCGTGCGCCACGACATCCAGCTGGCCGCGCGCCTCGTGCACGCGCTCGACGCCCGCGCGCACCTCTGGGGGCCGCCGCCGGGGGCCCCCGCGCCTGGCACCGCCGCCACCCCCCCACCGGCACCACCGGCAGTAACGGGAATGGGAACAGCGGGAACGGAGGCAGCGACGGCGACGGAGCGGCCGCGGCGGTGAGTGAGCACTGAGGGGCCTGAGAGAGCCCTTATGGAGCCCGTATAGAGCCCTTATGGACCCCATATAGAGCCCTTATGGACCCCATATAGAGCCCTTTTGGACCCCATATAGACCCTTTATTGAGCCCTTATGGACCGACCCCATATAGACCCTTCGTAGAGCCCATACGGAGCCCTTATGGACCCCATATAGAGCCCTTATGGACCCCATATAGATCCTTTATAGAGTCCTTATGGACCCCATATAGACCCTTTATAGAGACTATATAGAGCTTTGATGGACCCCCCTATAGATCCTTTATAGAGCCCATATAGAGCCCTTATGGACGCCATATAGACCCTTTATAGAGCCCTTACGGAGCCCTCATAGAGCCCTTATCGAGTCCATATGGACCACTTATAGAGCCCATATAGACCCCACATAGAGGTTTTATAGAGACCTGATAGATTTTTATATAGACCGTTTAAAGATGCTATATGGGTTCCTTATAAACCCCACATGAAGTTCTTATAAAGCCCATATAGACCCCTTGTAGATGCCATATAGACCCCATATGGAGCCCTTATAGACCCCATATGGATCACTTATAGATCCCATATGGATTATTTATAGACCCCATATGGAGCCCTTATAAACCCCATATGGATCACTTATAGACCCTCATATACCCTGTATGAAGCTCTTACAGACCCCCATTGGCCCCTTATAGAGCCCCATTAGCCCCTTATAGACCATCATTGCCTCCTTGTAGGCCATCATTGGCCCCTTGTAGACCCCCGTTAACCCCTTATAGACCCTATTGGCCCCTCGTAGCCCCCATTAGCCCCCTGTAGCCCCCCTTAGCCCCCTGTAGCCTCGCTTAGCCCCCATAGCCCCCCTTAGCCCCCCGCCTGGCCCCGGTGCCGGCTCTGAGGCGCGGGCGCAGGCGGTGCCGTCGCAGAACCCGGTGCTGCGCCACATCACCGATTACCTCATCGAGGAGGTGAGCGCCGAGGAGGAGGAGCTGCTGGGGGGGGCGGGCGCCGAGGAGCCCCCCCGCGAGCCCAACCCCACCGAGGTCACCGTCGAGCGCGACGAGAAGCTCCTCAAGGTGCGGCGCCGCCGGGCACGGCCCCCTTGCTGGCCCGTTGGGTCCCATTGGGTCCTATTGAGTCCCATTGAGTCCTGTTGGGTCCCATTGAGTCCTGTTGGTGTCCTTTTGGGTCCCATTGAGTCCCACTGGGTCCCATTGGGTCCCATTGAGTCCTATTGGGTCCCATGGGGTCCTATTGGGTCCCATTGGTGTCCTATTGAGTCCCATTGAGTCCTGTTGGTGTCCTGTTGGGTCCCATTGGGTCCCATTGAGTCTATTGGTGTCCTCTTGGGTCCCATTGATTCCTGTTGGGTCCCATTGGGTCCTGTTGGGTCCCATTGAGCCCTATTGGGTCCCATTGTGTCCTATTGGTATGCCCATCGATGACCCCATTGGTGTCCCATTGATGCCCCATGTCCCTATCCCTCCTCCTCATCCCCATCCCTGCCCCATGTCTCCATCCTGCTCCTTCTGCCCTTTGATGCCCCCCCGTCCCCATTGCCCCCATGTCCCCATCGTCCCCCATTGCCCCCCCATAGGTGCTGGACCGGCTGCTGCTGTACCTGCGCATCGTGCACTCGGTCGATTACTACAACACCTCGGAGTACGTCAACGAGGACGAGATGCCGAACCGCTGCGGCATCGTGCACGTGCGGGGCCCGCTGCCCCCCAACCGCGTGTCCCACGGAGAGGGTGCGTCGGGACCCATGCCACCCCACATCCCGCAATATCCCACACCCCATACCTCCCATACCCCATATCCCATACCGCATACATCCCATACCCCGTACCCCATATCCCATACCCCCATACCCTATACCCCCTATGCAATGGTAGAGTGGCAGAAGGCATTTGAGGCATGGCTGGGGCTGCTGCTGGCCCATACCCCATAGTGCCCTATAGCACCCCATACCATCCCCATGGCACCCATAGACCCTGCATGGACCCCCACAGACACCCATAGAGCCCACGTAAACTCCCATAGACACCCCATAGTCACCCATAGACCCCCCATAGACCCCCTAGTCCGCTATAGACCCCCATAGACCCCCATAGACCCCCATAGACCCCCATAGCCACCCCATAGACGCCCATAGCCACCCCCTAGAACACCATAGCCCCCCTATAGAGCCCCATAGACACCCCATAGAGCCCCATAGATCCCCATAGAGCCCCATAGCCCCCCGTAGAGCCCCATAGCCCCCCCAGAGCCCTATATTGACCCCGGCCCCCCGTTGCGCAGTGCTGGAGTGGCAGAAGGCGTTCGAGGCGCGGCTGGGGCCGCTGCTGCAGGGCCGGGAGGCGCTGCCGAGGAG